TTCATAAAAATAAATTATCTATTTTCTTGGGTTGAGACTACTAGTTTTTAGAATTACAGAGCTAATTGTCTTTTTACATCTTTTATTCTCTATAATTAAATGAAGAATATTTGAAATTGTTAAAAGCATATATATATAGATATTCTAATGCGTGTAAATATGTAAAATTATTAATATAAATAGCTGAGCATATTTGTTAGGTGGTCGGGAAGGGATGGAGGTAGATTAGGGAGATTTTTTTAGTGAATAAAATATATTTCAATAAATGATTTGGCCTTGAATGAGGGTTACATGTGATGCAAAGGATTATTTTTAGCTCTCCATAGATTTTCTATCATTTATCATACCTTTCTTAAAAGAAAAGGGATAAATGAAGAAAAAAGCAGAGAAGTTCATTTAAAGTGAAATAATTGTATTTCTTCATAATTTTAGGATTAAATTTTATCTTAATTTATTTTCTTGGATGCAAATCAAGGTTTTTCATGTATTATTTTTTTATGCTTCCATCAAGGATTAAAAAAATAAAAGTTTGGGACAGCTCTATTTTGAATTGGAGATTTCTTGATGTGGCGGTCTTTTAGCTCTTTCATTAAGGAGTGCTGTTCTTTGATATAATTCATTATGATATAACATCTACTTGGAATGTGATTTTGAGCTGGGTCTTCATTAGATTTTTGGGGTTTTCTACCTCCATGATCTGCAGATGTGCTATTTTGACTTTATGCTCAGTTCAAGTTTGGGCTTATTCTGATGGAATTAAATGAGGAATTGTTGTTATGGTTTGTGGCGGATTCAATGTCTATGTGCTATACCTGGGATGGGACGGTTGCATTACTTCAGGTGCTTTAAATTTTAAAATAAATTTGATTATTATTCAACTATTTTTTGGGGATTTAAAAAATAAGAAGGGATTGATTTAAACTTAAATTGGTATAGATTTTGTGCCAACCTTTTGTACTATCCTTGGATTTGAAATTTAGAAATAGTACCACTACCTCATTATGAGTAAAGTTCTTTTCTTGTACTATTATGATGCCTAGTTTTTATATTTTGTTAATTAATTTCTTAGGAATAATTTGTTATTGCTACATTTGTTCTTTTGATTTTGGTAAAAAAATTGCATTTCAGAAGCTTAATTTCTTGGACAAAAGTCATTGTTCGTTATTAATTGTTTTCAAATTTTTGTAGGAACTCTAAAAAATTTTATATTATTTTTATCAATTAGGCTTCAAAACTGTAGATACTTGTTTACATTAAAAGTGAGTGAGTTGTTGGTATTTTTAGTAACTACTAAGACGGGAATCATAAATTTATCTACCAAGTGAAAACAAATTTTACATGTTAGTTATTTTAGGAAACCAAACTCTGAGTAATTCTTTATCAATCAAAACTTAAGTTTTCATTTAAATTCATTGCCTATTAAATTATTTTTATAAAGCTTAAGGTTTCATCATTATTTCAAGTACAAGTAGTACATTAATCCGATCAATAAATTATATAATTTACAATGAAATTCAATCTTTGTGTGGTAGGTCATGGTTCTAATCAACAATAATGTAACTATAGGTTAAAAAATTACATTTTTTATATTTATAGGAGGTATACAACGACAACAACAACAAAGCCTCAATCCCCCTACGTGGGGTCGGCTACATGAATCCTTCTTCTCCATTGTGTTCTATTTCTATTTAGTGTCATATTTTCATCATATTTTCATTTAGTTCTAATAAATTAAGATCATTTTTTATACAATAAGCCCAAGTTTTCCTAGGTCTACCTTTGCCTTTCTTAACATAGTCGAATTGAAAACGTCAACTCTCGTAATCGGATCATTAGATGGTCGACGTTTAATGTGATCAAACCATCCAAGACGACTCTCTCTAATTTTGTCCTTCATTGGAGCTACACCAACCCTATCACGAATATATTCATTTTGCATTTTGTCTCTAAGTGTAAAACCACTCATCCACCTAATCATTCTTATCTCGACAAAACTTAACTTAGTATTATACTTCTCTTTTAAAGGCCAACATTCAACGCATAGAGCTTTACAGGTCTCACCACCATCTTATAAAATTTTTCTTTCAGTCTAAGTGATACTTTTCTATCACACAAAAGACCTGAAACATTCCTCCACTTCAACCAACTTCAACCAACCAACTTACAACCAACCAACTTAAATTCTACTATTAAAATCTCCTTCTATATCACCATCGTTTTGAATAACATACCCGAGATATCTAAATCGTTCACACCTTTTAATAATTTGATTACCCAAAGTTATACTTCTGTCACTAGAGCTACTACTACTAAAATTACATTCCATGTATTCAGTTTTAGTTCTACTCAATTGAAGGCCTTTAGACTCCAATTTAAACCTCCATAATTCAAGTTTTTTCTGAGCTTTTTCTCTTGTCTAATCCACGAGAAGGATATCATCAACAAAAACCATGCACTAAGGTACATCCTCCTGTAAGTGTCCATTAAGACAATCCATAACTAGAGCAAAAAGATATGGGCTTAAAGCCGATCTCTGATTTAATCCAATGTAAATAGGAAAATATTTGGTCAATCTTCCTTGAGTTCGAACACAAGTAACAGCTCTAGTATACCTATCTTTAATGATTTGAATATAAGTCATAACAACACCTTTCTTCTCAAGAATTCTCCAAAGGATATCTCTTGGAACCTTATCTTAAGCCTTTTCTAAATCAATAAAAATCAGATGTAGATCCTCCTTATTATCTCTGAACTCTCCATCAATCCGCTCAATGAATGTATAGCTTCCATAGTAGACCTGCCGACATAAATCCAAATTGATTATGAGAAATCTTTGTAATACGTCTTAACCTATATTCAATTGTGTTCAATTACCCTCTCCCATAATATAGGAGGTATGATCTTAAGAATAATTTTAGAATGAATCAATAATTTGTAATGCATCTATGAACCTTAGCATTTATTTGATTCTCAAGAAGTTAAAATTGCTTAGACAAAATCACCGAGACTTGCTCAATTGTTATGGTGAAGTGTTTCAAGTAGAATAAAATCAGTATGGGTTAATGTGAACATATAATTAAAAACTATTTATATTTTAATGAATATTTGTATGATTTGCTTGATCAATTTCAAAGATTCGAGCATGTTTGAGTGTTATGCAAATTTACACATCTTGTAGTGCTACAGATGATTTATCTATAGAATATTTTGGTACTACCACTTTTTCTTTAAAGGCAATAGGTGTGATATGAATGAACTAAGCGACAATTCACCAAAAATATCATCTGATATTTTATCTCTATATTTGTGTATTAAGATATATAGCTAGCATTTTATTAAGGCTGTTGCACATTTGTCATTTCTCTTGTAACTTAGAAACATATGATTTAAATCTTATGAAAATTACACTAATGGAAACTTATATATGGTTGAAGTTGATCCAATTGAAGACATGGCAGATCATGAATATTTGTTAGAGGATTTTTTAGATGCTAAAATTCTTTGTAATTATAACGTGTATTGATATTTGATGTCCTTGAATCTGAATCCATATGCATAATAAATAGTGTTCACGATGAACTTATTATTAATCCAGTGTTAGTATTGTGGTTTTATATTCATGAGATCGTAGCAGAACATAAATTTTTAATGAAAACTAAATTTATGTCTGAATGTGAAGATGAGTCAGTTTTATCTGACCTAGCTGTTGAACTGAATAAGCAATGCGAATATGCAACTTTGGGTGCATTCTTTGTTTTTATTGCTCCCATGATAATATTAATGTTGACTTTGTTTTGGGTTCTTAGTTGGTTGCGACATATTTTTAAGTGTTTTCTTAATTACAAACGACTTATAATAAACATAAAATTTAAACTTATCCATCTTGTTAATTCTAAATGTGCATAATTCATCAAAATTTATATTTAATTCCTAACTTATTACTTTCTCAAGGAGATTGTTCCACTATGCAGGCTATCATAATTATAGAATTTTGTCTTCTTGCAATTACATGAGCATTTCTTTTTATAAGAATTACTTACAGATCATTGTTAATAATCGTTAGGATGCATATTAGTATTTTAGCATTTATTTTTGTCATATCATTTGCATAATCATTTTTATAATTATCTATGACTTGGTTTGGGATATTCATAAGAAACTGGTTACTACTTAGGACAATTACAGGCTTTTTATTGATATTTATAAGAGGCTTGTGGAGTGTGAGCTTGGTGATAAGGTCATGGATTCTTTAAATCTATTAACTCTTTCATCTAGAACATTTAATAAGTAGAATGCAATGTGAAGATTTGTTTCTTTTTTAATTGTGCAACAGATTATAACAAATGCTCATAATTTAGAAATTTTAGTAACTTTGATATAAATTTAAATTTTAATGGATCTACTTTGATTTTATTAGTCTACTGACACTTACTTGGAATCTACCTTTTTTTTGTGAGTTTGCTCTCGTTCTAGCACTAGTTACAACAATGTTTTTGTTCTGTAAGTTATTATAAATGATGGGATTGAGTCTACTGTTGATGGTAAATTTAAAGGTACCTTATGCACAAGACGAGTAGACCTTCCTACAATGTGTACTTTATTCTTTATATGGTTTTGTATTTATGTCCAATCTTACATTACGAGTAACAACTCCTAAAATTGTTAGTGCCAAATTTGTCTGCTAGGCCGATTTGTTGAAAACATGTATTTATTCTTATTGAAAGTATCACATCAAGCATTAATATATGTGAAGTTTATGCATTTTCTTTATGTTGTTTATTCATTTTAAATATATATATATTTTTGTTTGTTTGTGGGCATGCCAACGATGATTATCCAGAAGGGTTGTAATGTTCAAGAAGGTATTTCATAACTTTAGGTTGATTTACTTAATATTGTTTTAGTCTTGATTATGTATAAGTTAATCCTCCAAATACATTTGGTGTTATGTTGGACTGTTGAAGTTTGGTATTAAAATTTAATTTTTAGCCGTATTTCAGGTTTGGATGCTCTTATCAAGGTGGATGATCGGTTTTCAAGCTACAAGTCCACTCTTTTTAGCCATGTTACTCTTGAAATAGAAAGGGAGAAGATGACTCCAAAAGAAGAGGAGAAGCTGAACAAGTCGATATGCTCATATTTGCAGCTTCTGGCAGGGCAATTGCTTCTTCCCTCTGCCCTAAGGACACTGGAGTATCTCATTCGTAGATACCAGTACGTTATTCTCATAAAGCAATTTTTTTGCATTTTTTTAGAATGTAATAATTTTTGGACACTGATTTTTCATATGTAGGGTTCATGTTTTCAATGCTGAGGAGCTTGTTCTATGTGCACTTCCTTATCATGACACTCACGCCTTTGTCCGGATTATTCAATTGATTGATTTTGGGTGAGGAACTGTGGATATAACTGCAATTGTCTTATCTCCATCTAAATTTGTGTTTTTGTAATAATGTAGAAATAAAAAATGGGCATTTTTGGAGGGTGTGAAGACGTCTGGTGCGCCGCCTCCTAGAAATGTTATTGTGCAGCAGTGCATTCGTGATAAAGGAGTTTTGGAGGCCTTATGCAACTATGTAGGCATCGTTCTGTCTAAACTTTGATGCTTTTTATTGGATGTTGAGATATATTCTTTTTACAATTTTTTCCAGGCATCATCAACTAAAGATTTCCAGCATTCCAGACCAGTTATCTGCTTTTGCACTGCAGTAACAGTGGAGGTGCTTGGCTCTCTTCCAAAGCTTGATACTGATACAATACAAAAAACTTTAACCTTTGTATTCAATGGGCTTAATCCGGCTATTGGTGGAAGTCCTGATCATGCGGTGAGTGTACTGTTTTATATTGTGGCTGTGAATTGTATTTGGTGAAAATTGTTTTTAATTTTTTTCTCAGCTCCATGAACAAGAATATTCTTGAAATATTTTTATAAACTTTTACATATCCTAACTTTTCAATCATAATGTATTCATAGTTTAATAGGTTTCAGTATTTTGGGGTAGCAATTGTGAAAAATTGCAATACTTAGGACTATAGATGGTGGCTATCATGGTAAGACTATAATAATAATAATCTTTTTAATTTTTTTTCTTAAACATGTTACTTCTGCGCTGTTTTCTTCACTATTCATGTGACACAAGCAATGAAAACTAATGAAGTTGGAAAGGCAGGTTGAGCAAAGCATTGCACATGAAGCAACCTCTCCTAGCAAGAAATGCTTCGGAATGATGAATATTAGTGAAATAGGCATAGAAAAATTACATCAATTTCAGAAACCCAATTAGTTTCATATGCATGGAAGATTTACTGTGTTTTTTGTGTCATGATAATTAATGAGTAATTATATGAAAAAAACTGTTTTTGATATGATTTTTATTGATTTTGAGAAAGCGTATGATCAAGTACCATGAAAGTAAATTTGGTATACTTTAAGGTGTAAATGCATGCTAAAGATGGCTTGATGGAGAACTAAGTAGTATTAGAAGTAGGGGTGTAAACGTGCCGAACATGAACGAACCCTGGCTCAACTCTTGGTCAACTCGTTAAAAAATAAAATTGTTCGTGCTCGGCTCGTTTGTATTTCGAACACAAAAAAAGTGTACGTGTTCGACTTGTTTGTTTAGTGAGTCGAACACGAGTTGTTCAATAACAAAGAGTCGTTTTGACAACCCAAGTCACGCAACCGTAGGATGTTAAGGGCTGAGGCGAGATTTAGATCTTATTATTTATATTGAAACATCATTTAAGATTATTCAATATTTTTTTTTATTTTTTCAATTAATAATTTTAATTAATTATAAATCTTTGTAGCCTTCTAGTCAATTATTATTTTTTTAAAATAGTACTCATCAGTTATATATATATATATATATATATATATATATACAAAGAAGTATAATCAGTTGAGAACGAGCCGAGCACGAACGAACAAATTTCACTTTGTGTTCAGCTCATTTATATTTCGAGAGCAAAAAAAATTGTTCATGTTCGACTCGTTAACTTAGCAAACAAATCGAACACGAGCTTCTTAACGAGTCGAACACTAGCTGTTCGCGAACAACACAATGTTTTGACAGCCCTAATTAGAAGTAGTTGTGGTGTGACCTAAGAGTTTCAATGATCTATATTGAGTATGTGTCTCTTTTTGTCAAAAGGCTTATAAACTGATGTTCAAATTAAGTTTTTGTGGTATATGTTTTTTATATATATAGTTATAATTGGTAAGGCATCCACTGAAATATATAAAAATAGAGCAATGGAGGAAAAATATTGGGCATGTAATGTATAATTTTAATTCAAATGATGATTGGCAATTGTCATTTTATATTATTATAAGATAAGATCCTACTTAGGTTTGATATTATTATATACATGAATAGGGATAAATAAAAACATGATTTTCAGAGTCAATTCTAGATCAAATGGAGTAGTGTCTCAAGCTTGTTTTGTGAAAAGGTGATATCATGAAGATTTGAAGTGAATAATTAAATAAACTCAATTTAATTCCAAATGTTGGGCGGTAACATTGATATCTTAGTTGAGTGACATAAATGTTAATATTAAAATAGCTGTGTGAATAATTAGGAAGTATAAATTAATAATTTGCTATATCAAAGGAATGTTTCGTGCGTTTTCTATTGAAGGTAATGTGATTGGATACAAGTACACGGGTGGTTTGAACATGAAGAGTAGAAATGCCCTTGTTGGATGAGTTGATAATATTAGTGTTAGATGTTTGAGAATGAAAAGGGGTGGACTTAAGATTTTATTGTTATAAGATGTTCAAAATAATTTGCAAAGAAATAGGTTGAAAATTTGAGATAATGCATACTAGAAATGAATAAAAATCTATGATTGATAACCGTGACATCTAATTGTTTGTATAAATGTTGATCATTATGACGATGATGAGCACAAGCATGTTGAAGTAATAATAGCTTAATATTTACCTCCATTGTCCTGTTGATGCGGGGTGTTTGAGGTTTTACGGTTTTTATTGTGAAATTAAAAATACGAGATATACAAAACCTTGCATCAAAGTATGTAATTTTTGGTTTTATTTGATGAAAATCAAAACCTGAGAATTTAATTCATATGAAAATCCAATGTTCTTGTAATGGATATAATGACCAAAATTTTGGATCGAGAAGTCAATTAAACTTTTTTGAAACCAGAAGCATAGTCCTTCGCTTGTACAAGGATATGGTATTATAATTCCTCCTAGAACCCTTCTAATCTCATGATCAACGAGTTGAATTTTTGAAATTGATGAATATATCAAAATAAATAATCTATTAATCATTAGTGGAGTTTTTTTTACATGTTTCTATTTTAATTTACACTAGCAAAGCCATGTAAAAACTCCTTTTTCATTAGCCATAATGCTCATAAAGAAATAGAAACATGTATGACTGATGAATCTCTCAAATTTACTTCAAGGAGAGCCACAAAAGTAGAAGTTGCTGACGAACTAACTAAAGCTGCATGAAGGATTTGCTGAAAAATCTGCAGGATAGTGAGCAGAAGGATATGCGATTTGCTCAAAAGATAGCAAAAAGCAAAGATAGTACTGAATCTGGCTGATAGAAAATTCCGAAGGATTAGCTTACGTCAAGAATCGGCCATCTTCAGGATGGAGATCCTAATACCATTTATACTTTTTCTGTTAGGTTGCAATATTAAACACATATACGTAAAATTATATTTAAAGTCAAAATAATAAAATAATTCCAGACCACTAAAATGAATAAAATTTTGATTGTAGGAATTTTACTTTTTCTATCATTTTGGGCTTCTATGTTTGAATTACTTTTATACTATTCCACTGCCCCCTCCCCCCCTCCCCCTTTGGAGTACATGCCACCTTCTTTCTCTCCCATTTTTTAAAAATTTCCATTGCAATTGTTGATATAGTAAAATTTGTTTAAGCAAAAATCACACATGGGAATAGCACTTAGCTTTCTTATCTCTGATAATAAAAGAAGGATTGCGTTTTGTTGACAGTAAAATCAGTAAACTGGTAATTGTGCTTTAAAGCTTTCATTTTATGGGTGTTCTTTTTTTAGGCCAAAAAGCAAGTTGTAGATCAGTTGTGAATTGTTGTAATAATCAATAGGAAATCACGAATGTCTTTTCAATAGTGAAGTCCAGATTGAATAGTTAATCAGATAAGATAATCACATCAATACAATTTATGCCATCCCATGTTTTCTTCAGCCAATTTTTCTAAAGGCAACTCAAACTTATTCTTTTTTGTTTTGTTTTGCAACTTTCTTGTCAAATAGTTTTTCTTATCTTGTTTTTTTTAGCAACAATCATCTTGCTGATGTGCTTCATTTGTTGCTTTTCTTTGAAAATTTGTTGTAGAAGTGCATGCTTCTATTAGAAAGCTTCCAATTTTTTTAGGAGTTTTTGCATTTTTTGTGTTTCTAGTTTTTTGATTAATTTTGCATGTGTAACTTTTATTTGACATACTTCCTATAATCTCCACAGATGGGCGCTCTAATGATTGTAAGCTTGATGGCAACTAGAGCCACATTGGCATCTAAACTTGTTCAAAGTCTGGTCTACTTTATTGCACGGTTTGCGCAACATGATTCCAGAAAATCATCTGATTTGCTTAGGCTTCGTGTTACAATTATGGCCATGGTTACCCTCGTTCAGGTAAATGATACAAATTCATTCTAGTAGCCTATTGGGGTCTATTTTTTTTATTGTTTTAGAAGCAACCTCTTATACTTAACATCTCAGGTAAAAAGTCAAAGATCCAGCTAATGTTTTTGATGGAAATATAATTTTGGGGCATTTACATACATACCACATGAGCCTTTTGTATTTACATATCTAACACTGAAACATTCATATTTACATGCATACACCCAAATCTTTAACGTCACGTCAAAAATACCACCCTCTCTGCTTTTTTAGATGTGAAGTGCACATTTTCTTGCATATTTTTATGACACTGTGGTATTGTAAGTGTAAATATTAAACAATTCACAACTTTGGGTGTTTGATATGTAAATTTATAGGATTTGTGTGGTATGTATGTAAATTTCCCAAACATTTCATCTCAGTATTTGGATCTTACCTGAAGGGATTGATGTGTAATCTACAAGGAACCTAGATTTTGTAAAGGTGTTTTAATTGTGAATAGTTGCTTATTTTCGTTTTTATGATGCACTAACCTGGTTTTGGGTTCTCGTAAAATTTATTTTGCCTACAATGGTATCCTGGAAATGCATATAAAACAAATATCGTGGAGAAGAGATGAATTTTTTAATAAAAATTCTAAAAAAATATTTAGGAAGAACCGGCTTTTCCTTTTGAAATGCTTCTTTTACTTATTTAAAATTTGGTAAACTATTTAAAAGGCTCATATTACGGACCAATTTGTTTCTTTTTTTCTAATAATTCATTTTTATTTTTTCATGAGATGTTATTTATTAGGCTCTTGTGAAGATGGATTTCATTTAGGTGCTGGGATCTGTTTATGAAAAAAAGGAAAACAACCAATCCTGTCTCACATGAGGTGCTTTAAGTAGCAGGCTTTCCTAATGCAGACTAATGCAAAATGGTATTATGAATGTAAATGTGATGAAGAATTTAAAATTCTTATGGATTTTCTAGTGATAATTCAAACCGCCAATCTCAATCCTGATTCACAAAATTAACATGCAATTGTAAACTAACACAACCACCCATGATGGATTTGGAAAAATAAAACTCTGCATATACAGCTTTTTATTTGCTTGTAAGAATTGGAACTTGAGAACGCTCAGTTGTTCACTAATGATTTAATTCGTTCAATATCAATCATTCATGGAGGCCAGGAAATTATAATTCTCTTATAATGGATGCCATAATGTAGATAGATGCCAGATTATATAGATTTTTCTAAGAAAAGAAAATTATTTTACACCAAAACGAAAAGAATAGATACAATTTTACCACCCCTGACCCAAAATTACATCTATATATAACAACTTTTCCAATGTACTATATATAACCATATTTGAATATTGAACTATCCAGATGTGATTGCCGCCATCATATTTTACACTCCTTTCTTTTATCCTTTGGTAAGCACATCTACATGTTATTGATTTGATAAATGCATGAACTTTGCAAATCGATCAACTATTTAACTTTTCTTTGATGTAGCGTCAATCAATATTTGTATGCTTTATTCAGTTGTACTCCATTGGATTATAAACTATGCATTTTGCAAGTTATTGCTGCAGATTTATTGCCACAATAAGGTATTATTGGGCTTTCTTGTTGAATCTTCAAATCCTTTAAGGGATGTTTAACAACAATGGCTCATAAATACCTTGAGCCATTGCTCAAATCCTTTACTTTCCATTTTATTCTTGTTTTTCTTCTTGTTGTAAGTTTCCCACTAAGAAAAAGGCTTCTTTACATAATAAATTTGGCACAATCAACTTTTGTATATGCTTCAATTACGAGTACCTTTTTTGAACAAAATTCTTTTCCCTGGAGATTCTTTCAGGAATACAATACTCGATTTATAGCATACATGTGAATCTTCGTTGAATTTTTTATAAACTTGTGGATCATACTAACAACATAAGCTATACTCGATCGTATATAAGAGAGATAAATCAGCCTTCCTTCCAGGTTTTTACACATTTTCCTGTCTATTCCATCATACCTTTCAACTTCTTGAAGTTTGTGATCGGCATTTATGGGTGTTTGCATGTGAACTTTTTTGTTTCTTTTTTAGAGTTGAATATTCTTTATTTGGAGTGCTCAATTTCAATGCCTAGGAAGTACTTCAATCTCTAATACTTTGCCAAACATTGCCTTAAAAACTTCTTTTTTCTCTCTCCATAATTTCAAGTTACAATTATATTGTCATTATTTACCAGAAAGACTGTGACTCTCCATTAATTTGAGCGCTTGATGCACAGTGCATGATCTCCTTGGATTTGTATCCTATATGTAATATCACTTTTACAATCCTTCTATTCTAAATCACACTTTTGGAGGCTGTTTTAACTCTTACAAGTCTTTTTTTCAGCTTTCATACTTTATTAGTTGGAGGATTTCTTTCAAATCCTAGTGAAATTAGCATGTAAATCTTTTCTTATTGTTTTTTTAAGTATGCTTTTGACATCAAATTGCCACAATTTTCAGCCATAATTATCTTTTAAAGATAATTGTGCTCTCACAATATTCATCTTGGGAATTAGAGCAAATGCCTATTGATAATTCATGCTGTGTGTTTCTTTGGCAGTTAGTCTTGGTATATGCAGCTCTCTAGTGATCCATTTGCTTGGTATTTCATAGTTAAAACTCGTGCATTTTACAAGGATTTTTCTTGTAGGTAAACTCGCTAGTTTCTTCTTTTGTTTTTTTAATACTATCACTACTGTTTTCATGATTTGCTTTCTTTTTTTAGAGAGTTGAAGCCTCTGAAAACTTGGCAGAAATTATTATATTGTTTTTGGCTTGCAAAGAAACTCTTATGAGATATTGAAAACATTTTTTAAAACACAAAATGAGGAACAATAGGTTCTATGTTCATTTCCTAGTTTCCTTGGTGCAATTTGAATATTATGATTTCGATTGCTACCCAAACAACTTAGTGAATTATTTTGTGAGGTAGTGTTAGAAACTATTACCTCATCTAGATTCTCTCATGAATATGAGCATAGAAATAAATTTCGGCTTCATGAAAGGTGATATCTGCCAAGGTACAGCTTTCGGAAGATTAATGTTAGTTATGACTTATATCTCTTTTGAGTTGAATAATGTCCTCCCAAAACATATTTGATAGCACTTGGATCAAGTTTACCTTAGTTGGACTACAAATAGTTGATGATATATACCAAAAAAAAAAATCTTTAGTACCGATGATTTGAAGTTCTTAGGTTAGGATATAATTTGGACAATATTTTCATGGTACCCTTGCAATCTATGAACCTGGAATTTAACCTATTTACAAAATGTATGCCAATGTGGCTGTTAGAACTGTCCCTCTTTAATATTTAGGTATTGAATTTTGAAGCATAAGTACTCGGATTGTATTAGGATTTCACTACATTTTTATTCAACAACTTGATTTTTGTGTGTGGATATTTACACATGATGGATCACGAATGGTGCTTTTCTTTTGGGAGTATGGAGTCAAGATATGGTGGAAAGAATCCCTTGCATTATTGGATTGAAAATGTTTGATTTTGATATCAAATGATTTTGTGCATGTTACGAAAATTGAAGGAGAACAAAACTCACCTTAATTTTGCGTCTTAGTAGGAAAATGCAAGAGGATTGTGCAATTATCAATAGAGCACATACTAATGTGCTCAAGAAATATTGGAAATAATATAATAACTCCATATTCTCTTTGGATTAGAATTAAATTAATTAAACTCCTTTGATTGCTGATTGAAAAAGGTATTTGTATTTCCCAAATTCATCATATCACAGTAAAACTTTCAATATCAAGCCTCTTATGTGGAGAAGGAAACATAATCTTTAAAGTTCAAATTGATGGATGATTTAGTCTAGAGTGATAAAGCCATCATACTGTCTTTATTACTGAAAAAAATGCTAAAACAACAACAACAAAACCTTTATCTCACTAAGTGGGGTCGGCTACATGAATTCTTTTTCTCCATTCCGTCTTTCTCTACATGAATTCTTTTTCTCCATTCCGTCCTATTTAGTGTCATATTTTCATTTAAGTCTATTAAATTAAGATAATTTTTTTTATACAATATGCCCAAGTCTTTCTAGGCCTATCTCTGCCTTTCTTAACATAAGTTGAATTTAAAATATCTACTCTTCTGATCGGATTTTCTGATGGTCGATGTTTAATGTGACTAGACCATCTAAGACGACTCTTTCTAATTTTGTCCGTCACTCGAGCTACGCCAACCTTATCATGCATATATTCATTTCACATTTTGTCTCTAAGTATAAAGCCACTCATCCACCTAGTCATATTTCTCGACAACACTTAACTTAGTTTTATGCTTTTCTTTTAAAGGCCAACATTCAATGCCGTAGGTCATTGTAGGTCTCACCACCATCTTGTAAAATTTTTCTTTCAGTTTAAGAAGTACTTTTCTATCACACAATAGGCCCGAAGCATTCCTCCACTTCAACCAATCAACTTGAATTCTACTAATAACATCCCCATCAATATCACCATCACTTTGAACGATAGACCTGAGATATCTAAAGCGTTCACACTTTTTAATAATTTGATCACCCATAGTTACATTTTTGTCAATGGTGCCGCTACAACTAAATTACATTCCATTTATTCAATTTTAGTTCAACTCAAACGAAGGCCATTAAACTCCAAGGTAAACCTCCATAATTCGTGTTTTTCCTAAGCTTTCTCTCTCGTCTTATTCACGAGAAGGATATCATCAACAAAAAGCATACACCAAGGTACATCCTCCTGCAAGCGTCCAGTAAGACCATCCATAATTAAAGCAAAAAGATATGGGCTTAAAGCCGATCTCTAATGTAAACCAACAATGTGGAAATATTTTCATGTCCATTTGATGCATGCATTATTTTTATTTAATTAAATAGTGTTTTTTTTATTTGAATTTTCCATTTGCATAGACATTTCACCATGATATGGGACTATGGGGCTTTTGATGTCTCTGTTGTTGGATATC